ATCGAACTCATGCGGAAGCGGCTTTAGTTTCTCAGTGCAGTGCTTTAACCCGCTGCGCCACCAGGGAGGGCCGGGATTTTTTTTTTTTAATTCTTGCACCGTTCTTAGAAAAAGAAATGAAAGATAGAAATGGTAATTAGATGTGACTTGATAACTTTCTATAAACTCTGATCCCAATATGCTATTACACCATGCAGACACAAGGGGGTGCTAGAGATAAAGAAAAGAGCTTTTCCTAAGCATCCAGCCAGAGAGTAAGGATGCCTGATAGCCTTGGGCCATCAGCAAAGGCCACCTTGATTGGTTAGCAGAGGAGGATAATTGGTAACTGGTATTTGTATAAGGCTGCAAAATTTACTTCAAATCTCATGTCATTTCTTTACATCTTTGCTGCAAACCTTGATGCCTCATCCCTTTGTTCTTTCATCACTTACTGTCTAATACTTCCCCCAGGCACTATGCTAAGAACTGTGATAGGATTTGGAAAATGCTGACCCAGGATATTAAGGGGCCACACATGATAGGAAGAGAAACACAGAAGTAGTTCCCAGATTTTGGAGTCTGACAAGTAGGTGTAGAGTCAAGTTTGGTTGTGAATAGCTGTGTGACTTTAGGCAAATTAATTATTAACTTCTTGAACCCCTATTTTCTCATAAAAGGTCATAGTTATATATATATATTAAAACTTTGCTGAGAAAAGTAGTATTGTTTTATCATGTAATCAAGTTTTTAGAAAGAAGTAGTGATGTTTGCTTTCTGTTATTTAAACAATAAGTCTTTAAAACCCAGTTTTACTGGGTTTTCACTTAGGATGCTATACTTCCATCAGAATAGTTGATTTATGTTTAGATTACATAAAATTCACAGTTGAAAATGTGAATTCACCTACCCAAGTTTTTCAAACACATTAGAATTTCCATTCTTCACCAAAACTTAGTTTTACCTTTAATATTTGTGCCTTCATTGGCAACACTGCTTCAGTGTTTTGCCATAGGGATGAAAAAAAGATACCAAGTAGAAGGTGTTGTTGGAATACTACTTGGCAATGAAAAATACAAACTTAGGCCAGTTACAGCACATGGATGGAGCTGGTAGGAATGATGTTCAATGAAGTAAGTCAGAAGGAAAAAGAAATATATTGGATGGTTTCACTTATAGGAAGAACATAGGAAACCATACAAGAAGTCACGAAAAAAAAAAAGAAAAAGACTAGTTGGGGAACTATAAATTGGAGACATTCTACAGGGGAAGGGGAGGGAGAGGGATCAAAATGGGAGGGAAGAGCACAAGAATCTATGGTTCATGGGTGTCTTAGTGGTGGAAATTTTTTTTTCTTTCTTTT